ATATACTTAGACTTCTCTAAGGCATTTGACTTAGTACTGTACAACATTCTGATTAAAAAATTAGAACTATACAAAAATCGATGCAGCACATATTAAATTGATTTAAACTGGCTAACTGATAGTTATTGGAACAATTTACATAGATATGTTTTGGATCTTCCATCACTTGTAGTCTTTAAATCAAGATTGGATGTCCTTCTAAAATGATATGCTTTAACTCAACCAGAAGTTCTGGGCTTGATGTAGGTATCACTTGATAAAATTCTATGGCTTGTATTATGCAAGCCAGAATAGATTATTATAATAGTGCCTTCAGGCCTTAAACTCTATGAATCTGAGTGATGGATAGAGTGCTTGATCTTATTATGGATTTTTGTGGCTATTTTCACCAGAAGAATTTTTTTTTAAATGGGAAAATTTTACTATTTACTCTCCTGCCAATCTGGGTGCTCAGAATAACTAAGTAATCTCAGCCTAACTAAACTAGAGTCTTGGGAAGAAGGAACATAAAGACAGTAGATGGTAAACCAAGTTGAGGTTAACAAGGAGAAGAGTAGACTCAATTTCAAAATATTTTAAATTTTAAAATGATGATGTGATGCTGCATTTTTTACACCATATGGGAGCCAAAATTCAGAGGGTTAACACTGAGTTTAAATTATAGACAGCAGATAAGCAACAGTTAGGAGATCTTCAGAATTCCCTGATAAATCAAGGTCTCCTGCTATGCCTCAATTTTATTTAAGCACAGCTTTCTAGTCTAAAGCAGTGGATATGTATCATAGACCATGCCATTTCCATCTTCTTTATACTTTAATGTATGCATATAGATATAGGGCAGTATACTACATTGGGATTTTAATGGGACACTATAAGCTTTTTTAAGCTCCAAAATATACCGTCCTCCAAAATAAACCCCACTCAACATACCTGGATCATTCTGTGATTAATCAGACTGCCACAGGATTATCACAATTTCTATTAAAACCAAAGCTGTAAAACAAATTTTCCAGATAGTTACACTTCCAGAAAAAGCAGACGTTCAGGGACAATTCCTAACTATTATCACTTACACAAAGTGCCACCAGCAAGCACTGAAAATGCTCTCTGGTCACTGGTCCAGGACCATTGCTTAGAAAACTTTATTAGACATTAAAGTATTTATAATGGATTGGCAAATTGTTTCTAGTTCTGGCAGGTTTTGAAATATAAGACCTTAACATTTTTCAGCATCTCCTATATCCATTTTTTCCCTCAAAATCTACAGTATTATTGATTAATAACAAGACTTAAAGAGCGGATTTGTGTCTTTGTGCAAGGGGAACTACTGCAAAGTTTAAAGGCTTCTCAAGTCCATTGCTGCTGTTATTGTGCACAATTCCTCTTTCCAAGTCCAAGAAATGCTACAACAGCACACCTGAGTTAAGTGGAGAAAATATCAAACTATATTTTTCTCTCTAAATCAGGTATCTTTATCACATTACATAAATAGGTCTTTGTAGTTCCTGATGAAGAATCTCCTGATGAGGAACTGCTTATTGCATCAACAGCAGCATGGGACTCTAGCAGCCTCTCAAATGACTTTGTCCTTTTATTGTAGTTCCCACTTCTAGAAAATACTAACTTTTTGAATTTTGTTGAAATACTGATAAGTTTCAATAGCTGACATTGAATAAATATTTTTTCAGTATCTTTAGCAATATAAATACTTTAGAATACAATTATTCTGATTAATAGAGTGTGAAAGACATAACTTTTTTTAATATTATTTTTGCATAAAGTCCTGGATTTTGAAATTAATGCCTTACCACCATTTGAAATCTAGGTGTCTACATTTTTTAAATGGCATATAGCTTTAGCTGTAATAATTCTCAAGATATACACTATCAGGTGAGAATTGAAAGTGGAGGTAAGGTATGATAGAAATCAGAGCAGTGTGATTTTTCTGTTTAATATCTCACAAACTATCAGAACTAAAGCTAAAAACTCTTGTTTTTCCAATGGTGTATTGCACTACTTCTCCACCATGGGTTGCAACTCCTGGAGGGGGTGGGGAGTGGGTAAAGAGTCAGCAAAGGCAACAAGCAGGATTGTGAGGCTTTGAACAAATTTTTACAGCTCTAAAGCAAAAGAAATAAAGTTTTGAGAATAACTTCTGGACAACCAAAGCTTCAAAGTTTGTGAGGTCAAATTTAGTAGTTGTAGGAGTAGTTGTATTATATAGACTTACTGAATCATTTTTTACTCTTGCTTTTATAGAAAATGTCAGGGGATTGTGAAAATTTTTGACTTTGTATAAGGGGCCACCAATCTGTAAAGGATGAGACAGACGGATTTATAGTATTCATTAATATCTGTAGTGGTTAGTGAAATATCAGAAGTTAACATGGTTACTAGTTCCTTCCACCAGCAGTGCTATTTTGAAATTGGTGCAGGCCTTAAAAATAGCAAGCCATTAACCTCAGACCATTGTCATGTTTAGTCCTTGGCCAGATGGAAACCCTCAGATTCAATCATCTACACTAAAAAAATCCCTATGGCTGGCTTTACTAACTAAGCAGAAAGCACAAATCTTTTTCTAGGTGAAGATATGCCCCCTAACAGGGTAGATCTGCAAATAAGGGAATAGCAAGACCTGTAATATCTGTATTGGGTTCACATATCATGACCTCCGTTGCCAGTTTGGAGGCATTATTATAGCAAAGCTCTGTCGTTTTTATTTCTCTAAAAATTTCTGCTTTAAAATGGAAGAAAGAGAAAACTCATGCACCTAAAATCTGTTCCACCAGAATGAGGAGTACTCTTGAAAAACTACATCTGGAGCAGAAGATTCACTTTTTTTGGCACTTGTGGCCAGCTTCTAAAATCTGAAGACCCTCGTGTTTTACATGTCACATTTCTTGGACAGACTGACTGATGACTGAGATCAGTAACTACTGTATTTTGTTTTCCTGTGACACAGAAAACTTGCAGGGCTTTGAGATGCCCTTCCAGTCAATTCAACTTATTTCTTCCAGAAGTCTTGTTTTCCCTATCACCAACTGCTGATCAGGACTGCCAGTTCCCAGGGTTACTGAACCTCTGATCCCTTTGTAGCCTTCTTGAAGGTACCCTACTTAGGTACCTTCTCAGGCCTCTAACAGTCAACTTTCTCCAGGCAGGATCCCACAATCCTCTCTTCAGACCAGGGACTTAGGCTGCAGGCTCCCGCAATTCACTGCAATTATCTCAGCAGGTCTGACTTTAGTACAGGACTTTTATTTCTGAACCTGCATTTCTGTTCTCTCAGGGGCAATGACAGAGTTAGCCAGTGACCAGCCAACTTTTATAAAGCAAAGTATTATTATTGCAGACTAAAAGAATTACAAAGATAACACATCTTAAAAAACAATAAACAGCTTATGCAAGTGTAGCTTACCGGGCAGTCATCCGTCTTCCATATGGAGACTGCTAGGATTTAAAGTACTTTACATACTCCGCATGGTCTGCCTCTCTTGGTCACAAGTCTAATGTCAGTTCTTGGATTGAGGATGAGTGACCCGCTTCCTGAGAAGAGCAGTCTCTTTATACAGTTTACAGTGCTTTGTATGCAGGCCTATTGAACCAAGTCAAACCAGTATATGCTATTTCCCAGGACAGAGGGTGTAAGGGGAGGGCAGGAGTGACACTTCCACAAAATTGTTACCTGCATTAGGGATGTACGTTAATTATCCGCCCAGTGTTTTTAGTTCCTGCAGGAACTAGTCAGGAATACAATCACTAAATAAAGATATGTATAACATTTATAAAGTTGATATAATAGTCTTTAAATATTCCATGTGTCCATCGCATCTGTCACAAGGACAATGGCCAATGATTTGTCCTGTGATCTGATTAAAATGCATAAGGATGGATGCACAAGGAATAAGCTGAATTGGCAGAGAATTTCTGTAAATGCTCTCAATTCTTGAACGTGTGCATTTAATAGATCTGAATAGTTGACAATGCTAGACCCCTAGGTACCACACTTGGGCTGTAGCAAGTGGTTCTCCAAAGTCAAGGAGTGATGGATCCCTGGCACTGAACTTGGTCAGCCAGGACTAATCCAGTGACTGGTGCTACTTAAACCAGGCAACTAGACACTATAGTGAGTGGATCTCCAAAGTTGATGCTGGATTTACAGATGGCCAGTCTTAGTCAACCAAACCCAAAGAGGCTCATACATCAACAGGAATGTGAGGTGGCTCTTCCACTTTTGTGGGTTTAGATGATCTCTGAGGCTCTACAGGCACCTGCCTTTCTTCTCTTCGGAAAAGCTGACTAACTATAGATAAAAATAGTCCTCAAAGGGCAGAAAGAAATAAAAAATGATAAAAGAAATATTGAGAACATCACATATGCTTCAAGCTCACTGCACCATAAGCGATTAGAAGGAACTGAAGAATGGTTGACGTCACTCCCTTTATACCCTCAAAATCCTTCGTCCAGTGAGGAGGGAGAGATGAGTGGCACCAACACAGTCCTCACCAGAAGATTCTGGAAGCTCACACCACAGGTACCTTGATCCATACAAGTAGGAATATGCAGAAGCCACTCAAAGAGGAATGAAAGGAAAGGAATGATCTCAAGCTTTCTGAAAATGTGAGCAGATACAAGACCTGTGAAAAAGTTTAGAAGGTGGCTCAGGGAATGAACCTGCTGTGGTACATTAAATAGCTCTAAGCAGCATGAGGTATTTTCCACTCTCTTTTTCTGTAAACTGTTGCAAACATCTTTACAAGCAACTGACTAAAGACTGGGAAACTCATGGAAGACTAGAAGCGTGCAAGAGACTTTAAAGCTCTGAATGGTTGCTGCTGTCTTTAGGAAACAGCAGATAAGTGTAGTTTGACGGTCCACTATTCACATTACTACAGGGGTGATTACAAAAATTTGAATTTATCAATGAAGATGTAAATATTCTCTGAAATAACTTGTTTTTATTTGATCTTTAATCAAATGCCAATAGTTGGAAAGTTTATTTAAAAAATAACTGACATCTGAATTTTACATTTGTATTTCAAGTTTTATACTACAGTGAGTTTTTACAACCAAGTAACAAAATCCTGAAAAAGAGATGATGGTTAAATGAGTCCTCGTCATACAAAACTAAAGTAACACAAAATTATTACCTATGTCGTGACTAATTTTTGCATTCTTTGCACAAAGAAAAATGGCATACTGGGATAATTAAAATTAAACACTGGAATTCAGAGGTCATTCAGGGTGAATACATTTAACTGCCCATAAGTTTCTGTCTTCTTTACATATTAGTGTATTATTATTTTAAAAAAAGTTGTTTAGACATGCTGACCTTGGTATTTCATCCTCTTCCCATCGAAAAAAAGTTCCAGTAATGGAATTTTCTGGTAAATGATCTTTGTAACATCCAATTCCACCTAAAGTATCACCTAAAAACAGAAACATATAAGGAAGCACGTTAGTTTTACAATACTTTACATTTTTATTTGCACACTTAATTACCCTTTTAAAGTTATAGGTTTGCACTAGCAATACGAATGCTTTGAAAGAAGGAAAGAAATGCTTTACAACATAGGCTTCAAAAAGGAATCACACTACCCTTTACCTTACTGATAATTTCTCTACCTATGAATAGATTCATGTGGACACACACTAAAAAAAGAAAAACAAATATCCACAGCATACGATGAAATCATTAAAATTAAAGCTGTAAACTACTTTTCTTTTTTGCTTTTTAGTGCACTTCCAGGGAAATTATTTGTCATCTCTGATCTAACCTTCCTAAAGATTCCCAAATGCCTGGGGCCTCAGCCAAGCTCCCAACAGAAATCAGATACCAGATACAACTCTAAACATTACTTAGCACTTTTCGTCTTTCTTATGCCCTGAACGGAAAGAGAATATGCAATGTATTCCAGATGTGGTGTCCATAATAGTAAGTAGAAATCTGCAGTGAAAGCAGATGGTGTCTGACCTACAGATAAAGAAAGGACTGTATAAGTTTGCTCAGAGGTTTCAGTTTAAGGAATTGTGCTCCAGGGTCAAGCTGGGGGAAGTACCCTCTGAAGATTTACTACCTCCCCTGTGGTCTCCTTCTGGAACTTAACTCTTCAGAGGAAGGAACGATGAAGCACACACAGGCAGTGGCACTAGAAGCAACAGTTTTGCTTTTGCCGTTGGACAAAAACAGCAAAAACACACTCTAAAAAGATTAGTCAAATCTCCCACTTCCACACTAAAGATCAGCTTGAATTTTGGATTTTCTCAACTTTTATTGCCTTGTGGCACACACCAACAGTTTTTTTTAATTTAATTTATATCCTTCAACAAGAAAATCTTCCATATTTGTTAACAAAGATCTATTAGTGATCCAGGAGACAAGTATCAGTCCCTTGGGTAAATATATACTTAGATGAATGTAAATACTCTTTTTCTTCTCCAAAATTAGTTGCATGTTCACTGATACTCACCATGCATCATTTAGAGAAACAGCTTCATACACATTTTCAAATACACACTCAATAGGACTCAGTAAGCATTTATGTGTTTTAAAGGTATAGTACTGAAACTGCTAAATAAGTATTTCATAAACAAACATTTTACCTGTAGACCACATACTAGGAAAAATAGAATTTTATTTTGAAAATGTATTTTCTTGAAACAATAATGGTTTTAAAGCATTCTTGCCCCTACTTTTTTTTTTTTTTTTTTTTTACAACCTCCATTTGCAAAAAAATGAAAAAAGTAAGGGCCATTTTCAGTAATAATCCAATCTGAGTCTATTTTTAAGAAGTAATTTGTGAAGATTTAAGGGCATCCTATAGTCCTCTTCCCACTCCTGGAATAAAGTCTAGCCCTACAGCAGGGGTGGGCAAACTTTTTGGCCCAAGGGCCAAATCTGGGTATGGAAATTGTATGGCAGGCCATGAATGCTCACAAAATTGGGGGTTGGGGTGCACAAGGGGGTGAGGGCTCTAGCTGGGGGCGCGGGCTCTGGGGTGGGACCAGGAGGTTGGGGTGAGGGTGGAGGGGTGAGGGCTCCAGCTGGGGATGCAGGCTCTGGGGTGCAGGAGGGTGGGACCGAGGGGTTCAGAGGGCAGGATGGGGCTCAGGGCTGGGGCAGGGGGTTGGGGCGCTGGAGGGGGTCAGAGGTGCAGGCTCTGTGCGGCGCTTACCTCAAGCTCCCGAAAGCAGCGGCATGTCCCCCCTCCAGCTCCTACACGGAGGCACGGCCAGGCGGATCTGCTGTACACTGCCCCGTCTGCAGATGCCGCCCCTGCAGCTCCCATTGGCCGTGGTTGCTTGGGGCGGGGACAGCGTGCGGAGTCCTCTGGCTGCCCCACATATAGGAGCCGGAAGGGGGACATGCTGCTGCTTCTGGGAGCATATGTGGAGCAGAGCAAGCCCTGGACCCCACTCCCCGGCAGGAGCTTGAGGGCCGGATTCAGCCCCTGGGCCGTAGTTTGCCCACCCCTGCCTTACAGCAATATCCGAGAACCCCTAGGGTTCATGGCAAAAGAGGAAACTCAACTGCTGAAGATTCCAGGTCTTCAGCAGGTATGGCAGGGGGCACCGTCCCCCTCACTAATATACCCAACTGAGAAGGAGGGAACAGACATGCACCTCTACCCCGATATAACGCGGTCCTCGGGAGCCAAAAAATCTCACCGCCTTATAGGTGAGACCGCGTTATATTGGGTTTGGGCCAATACGCCGTGCCGGACTGGACGGGCTTCCCCGGCGGTGATTTAAAGGGCCCGCTGCTCCAGCCGCTGCGGGGAGTCCCGATCCCTTTAAATCACCGCCGGGGCTCTGGCAGTGGGGCTCGGGCAGGGATTTAAAGGGCCCGTGGCTCCCCGCAGCGGCAGGAGCCTCTGGCCCTTTAAATCACTGCCCGAGCCTGGCTGAGTAGCAGGACTGCCTGTGTAAATCAACCATCTTGGTTTGATTCCCACAAACACAGTTAGGTACAGGACTGATACTGGATTTGCTACTCCCTGCCAGGACAATCTGTGGTACTGCCCACAGGGGAAGAAGAAACGGGCATGTGCTTCTTTTGGCTACACCCACTATCCCCTTCCAACCTCTCCTCCATTCAGGAACTAGATCTCTCACACTTAAAGGTGGGAGAGAAATTAAGGGGCTAGCCTGACACAGTTGTTTTTTGTTCACCCTTCCAGGTGATAGACTAAAAATAGCAGACCTGACAAGGAGCTGAGAGGCTAGGCAGAGCCTGTCTGAAGCAAGAGGCAGAGAAAGAGATTAGAGCCCTGAAGATTTGTTTCCACAGGTAATGAAACTGACCACAACTCTTTGAGCCCACCTACAAGCCAAGTGCGACATCTGAATGTTGTTTTCCTCTCCCCACATTTAGACAAGTAGACCTCTGAAGGGAGGACGGAAGAAGAGAGTGTTCCCTACACCTAAGTTCCCCATAAGCTGTGCAGCCACGGAGCAGGCTACCAAGGGCTGTGCAGGTGGGAAGAGGTGCCCCTCTCCTGGCCCAGCCCAGCCGGAGCTACCACTTCGGGGGAGAGGCGCCCCTCCCCCGGCCCAGCCCCACCAGAGCTGCCACTGCCGGGGAGAGGTGCCCTTCCCCCAGCCCAGTCCAGCCGGAGCTGCTGGGGAAAGGTGCCTCACACCTGGCCCCAAGAGAGAGGGCTGGGGGGAGTCCTCTCTCCCCACTGCAGCCCCGGGGCAGTCTGCACCCCAAACCCCTCACCCCCATCCTAGAGCCCACCCCCACAGCTGGAGCCCCCAACTCCTAGTGATTTTAACAATCCACGGTACCATTTGTTCCACTTCCACCAGCCTCTATTTCTGTCTATGTCCCTTGCTCTGCAGAAGTTTCTCAGTGTTTCCCCTTGACTCCATTTTTTCTGTCATTGGCAGTTCTATCTCAGCAACTGTTTTGTCTTTTTCTTAGCTTCTTTCCTCCCTTCCCATCAGACCCAGTCTTAAAATGCCACATTGAAGGCTGTTCGTTAGTTTCCCACATGATGCAGGAGAGCCTGCTCAATGTAAAATTGATGGGATTCTGAGCCTCTACTGTACATCCAGGCTACCTCAAGAGGAGACTACTGTCATGGTTTTGTCATTTAAAAATGATGAACCTGAAGGAGAACAGCATGTTGCTTTAATATTGGAAAATGTAATGGGGTTATCCCCCACATCCCAACCTCCTGCCCCAGCCCTGAGCCCCCTTCCACACCCCGAACCCCTCATCCCTGGCCCCATCCCAACCAGAACCCTCACCTCCTGCACCTCAACCCTCTGCCCCAGCCCTGAGCCCCCTCCTGCACCCCGAGCCCCTCATCCCTGGCCCCATCCAAGTCCGCACCCCCCAGCCAGAGCCCTCACCCCACCGCACCCCAACCCTCTGCCCCAGCCCTGAGCCCCCTCCCACACTCTGAACCCCTCGGCCCCACCGCGCCACACATCACCTCCATATTGGTGCACATAACAAAATGAATTATGCACACGGACGTAAAAATTAGAGGGAACACTGCCCTACACCCTATTTGCCTGCCTCTGTGAGGCTCTTTTGGTATCTTGGGGAGAATGCAAGTACCTGATCCTGCTTCTCCCCTATTCCTCCTAATGACTGGATGTAGGGCCCCATAGATTATTCCCCTTGAAGATCTTTTCATCTTAGCTGAGCTGCAGTCCTCTGACCTCCCACTGCTCCAGACATATAGAACAGCAAGAGGGTGGAATTATTCCTGAGCGTGGAAAGGTTAAGGGTTCCAAGAGCTTTTTAGATACATTTAAAATAAATGGCTGTAAGGGGCTTCATAACAGGGTGTGTCTGTCTGTCTCAGGGTGGATAAAAAAAGTGATGATATTTTTTTAAGTCAGTTTTTTTATTTAAATAATTTTTAAAAAAATTTTGTTGTTTAAACTATACTTTTTTATTTTTTAAAATAAACTAATTTAAAATGAAATCCAAATTTAATTCAAATATGTTTAGGCCTAAACTCATGATAATCTCTTAAAACATTTAAATAAAAAATATATATACTGAATCCATGGGCCTCTATCAAAAACTTTTGAGTTAAAGGCTGCTTTTCAATATACAGAAAGAATCGGGGAAAATATCAAACTCTTAACGTCAAGCTTCATAAATATGGCACAATATGTCATGTACTATATTAAAGGCTTGTTTTGTTTAATAAAAAAAAATGTTATTTACTGTTTTGTGTGTTTAATTAAATTCCAGTTACCATCCTAATGCAGCTTGACACAAATCATGAGCAAAAAGTTAATTACTTTGGGTATGTCTACACTGGAAACTTCAGAGCACTGCCGTGGAAACGCTCCCGCGGCAGCGCTTTGAAGTGCGAGTGTGGTCGCGCGCGAGCGCTGGGAGAGAGCTCTCTCAGCGCTCCTGGTAATCCACCTCCATGAGGGGATTAGCTCCCAGCGCTCGGAGCCTGTCTACACTAGCACTTTAAAGCGCTCATACTTGCTTCGCTCAGGGGGGTGATTTTTCACACCCCTGAGCCAGCAAGTTAGAGCGCTATAAAATGTAAGTGTAGACAAGCCCTTAGTAAATAAGCAATATATCATTCACCATTTTCTAACATTCTAAAAATGTACATTGAATAAGAATCTGAAAATATTAAGTTATATAACTGCTTAAATAGATAAAGTACCCTCTTCGGTATCAAAACGATGTACCAAATCTAGTGTAGAGGCTCTATTTAGTTGTAAATGAACACATTTTAATAGTTATATTAACCAATGAGACTGCATCTTTCTTTAGAAAATAACTGAAGTAAAAAGAAAATGTTGATTTAAATCGACACTTTCTACTTGGTGATTTAAAATGCCTTAATTTAAGAGTGTGTGTGTGTGTGTGTGTGTGTATAAGTAAAAATAAAAAGGAAACGACAATTTAAAATCATATAGATTACTATTTACCATTTCTATAATAATTTGTAACAATTCCTTTAAACCTTTGTAGCTCTGACAGATAAATACACAACTCTACATTTTTGTTTAAGTAATGCACCAAAAATGGACAGTAGTTATTTTCTAAATCTCAGCCATTTTGTCTCTCCCTTTCTCCCGACCCATCAAAATACTAAAAGCATTTATAACACATTATGGATTAATCATTTGCAAATTATACTTTTATGTCAGAGGAATTTGATGTTACCCAAAAGTACAACATGCCAAACCGATTTTTCAAAAGGAGAGTTAAAAATGTCTCCCTTTCTCAGACATATGTATTTCAAATTTCAACCTGGAGAAAACAGCAGTGGTATAATTAATTAGAAGCACTTTCATTAAAATTTTTGTCAGAGGATAATAACATAACCTAGCTATAACTTTATGAATGTGCCACTACAATAAAGAACAAACCACAAAGGATCTAGGGCACAACTGAAAGAATGAACACCAAAAGTATTTAAACAATGCAATCAAGCAACTAACCTTTACATGAATTCTTCAACTAAAGATAAACTGTGGTACAAGCTGAAAAAGCTTCCCTTATAATTTTGGGCTGGAAAACAGGTGCCTAACTTTTGTGACTTGACAGTCAAATCCACATCTGTCATAGGTAGCATATGCCTTGATAGTTACGCAACAGCTCACATGCCTCTAAGTGGCCCTTTCCCCACTCTATTTTGCTCTTTAAGTCCAGAAAGCATGCACAAATTAGAACGAGAGAAAGCTCAAAGTGAATTTTGATGAAGAAGGCAAAGCTATAAATGAACAATATATAGTACACAGATAATACACAACTGTATTTAAGACAGAGCAAACAATGGCAAAATCAGAAACCTAATGTTGGTTCCATTTGGAAGTAGTGTTTTGAACCTACAAGACAATTATTTATGATTTAGCCTTGAGAAATAAACACCTTACTTCTTCTCTTTGCCTTTCTGAATTTGACAGCAGCCAGGTTTATTAAATTCATTCCATACAGGTTGTAGTCTATAAACAGTTGCAGGAGGTAGGGAATATGGGCTTCATGAGGCTGGTAAAATTTATTCATTATGGCTCCACCTTGTAAAAGCTCACATACTCTAAAGTTAAAAACAAATTGAAACATGTTGAAAAGTTACACCATCTTATTGGGTTTATCAATTAAAATCACAATAAATAATTAAAAGTTCCACAATATATTTGATTTTACTAACATTATAAATGCTGCAAACGTCTACATTTTAACAAATGTCCTTAACAAAACTGGTCTGCCCTAATAATAATTCAGTATCTGAAAATAAGCACAGAGGAGCTGTAACTGTCCAATTATAAAAATCCCTACAGAAGCGCATAGCAATAGTTCTGGGGACTGATCCAAGGCCTCCAGAAGTCCATGGAAAGCTTTGCATTGACCTCAATGGCCCAAGGACAGTTGGATAACTAAATGTTATTTGTGACTTTGAAAATCTCCCCTGTGGTCCTTTGCCATATTAACAAACAAGTCATAAATGTTTGAAAATTACAAACACTGCATGCGTAATACAGTACTCTAACTTTTTAACAAAGCAACCTTTGTGATGCAGCATATATCTGCAGACATGTATTTTCTTCAAAGATCTGTACATTAAAACAAACATATCTACCTTTGAATAATTACAAACATATGCAATTAATTTATCTGAATGTCAGAATGGTATCTGCATTTGTAAAGGGATTCAGTGTATTTATTTGACTATATAATACAATAAAATGTTATCTAAAAATCAAAACTAGGAAATTAAAGGAAGAAACTATGATAAGATAACATAGTTCAAATACGAATGATTAAAATCTAAAAGTTTCAATATATGGTTCCCACAGCAATTGTAACTCAGCCACATTGCGCATATAGAATATTTTTTCACTTCAAGGTCCCAGAAACAAAGGCAAGGTTTTCATCTCGAGGCCAAAAGACCAAAAACATCAAGACACTTGATCATGGCCTTGGATAGACCAAGAGACTACCTACACTTGATCTCAAACTTAACACCATATGAAAAAGCCTTGCAAAATTCTATTATCCTACTTATTTGGACCAAACAACTTTCTGGACAATCATTAACATAAGAACAGCCATTCCGTGTCAGGCCAATGGTCCATCTACCACATCTCTGACAGTGGCCAGTGCCAGACGCTTCTGGCAGTTGGAGGTTTAGGGACATCTGGAGCATGGGATTGTATCCTTGACCATCTTAGCTAATAGCTATTGATGGACTATCATATTAGTTTTTTGATAATCATAAATTAGATTTTAGTAAGGTTAACATATGATACAAAATATTACATAGATCCAAAGGATTTCAGTTATGCTATGAACTATAAAGACTGAATTTCCTGTGGTTTGTGCAATTAATCTCTATCTTAAATGTTGCATTAACTGTTCTTTGTATTTAATAAACATAATGTTACATTACTGATTTATACCAAATTATCTGATTTTTCCAGATTATTTTAAATTCTGTGATTGGATACCAGAATTTAAATCTTTATAACAAGCATTTTATTGATGAAAATTTACCTCATAGTACTTGAAATATCACTATGTTAAATTCAATCCTGTTTTAACTCCATTGATTTAAACAGAGTTACAACAAGAATGATTTTAACTAATGTATTTAAGTCTGAATAGACAATTAATTGCAGCTACAATTCATGTTTTATTTCCCTTGCATAAGCTATTCCTTAAGACTATTCTCATGCTTAAAAACAGGTACATGCTTACATACTTTCCTGAATTGGGGGTAATAATGACTAATATTTAGGGCTGCCAAGCTATTAAAAAAAATTAATCGCGATTAATCATGCAATTTAAAAAAAATCGCAAGTAATCGTGCAATTAATCACGCTGTTAAACAATAACTGAATGCCATTTATTTAAATATTTTTGGATGTTTTCTACATTTTCAAATATATTGATTTCAATTACAACACAGAATACGAAGTGCACAGTGCTCTCTTTATATTTATTTTTGATTACAAATATTTGCACTGTAAAAAACAAAAGAAATAGTATTTTTCAATTCACCTAATACAAATACTGTAGTGCAATCTCTTTATCATGAAAGTTGAAATTACAAATGTAGAATTATGTACAAAAATAAAACAAGCTAAAACTTTAGAGCCTACAAGTCCACTCAGTCCTACTGCTTGTTCAGCCAATCACTCAGACAAACAAGTTTGTTTACATTTGCAGGAGATAATGCTGCCCGCTTCTCATTTACAATGTTACCTGAAAGTGAGAACAGACATTCGCATGGCACTGTTGTAGCCGGCATCGCAAGATATTTACGTGCCAGATGCACTGAAGATTCACATGTCCCTTCATGCTTCAACCACTGTTCCAGAATACATGCAAACATGCTGAGGACGGGGTCTGCTCGATAACGATCCAAAGCAGTGCAGCAGCATGTCCATTTTCATCATCTGAGTCAGATGCCACCAGCAGAACGTTGATTTTCTTTTTTGGTGGTTTGGGTTCTGTAGTTCCCGCATTGGAGTGTTGCTCTTTTAAAACTTCTGAAAGCATGCTCCACATCTTGTTCCTCTCAGATTTTGGAAGGAACTTCAGATTCTTAAACCTTGGGTCGAGTACTGTAGCTATCTTTAGAAATCTCACATTGGTACCTTCTTTGCGTTTTGTCAAATCTGCAGTGAATGTGTTCTTAAAATGAACAACATGTGCTGGGTCATCATCCAAGACTGCCAAAACATGAAATATATGGCAGAATGCAGGTAAAACAGAGCAGGAGACATACAATTCTCCCCCAAGGAGTTCAGTCACATGGAAGCATGTCCTCTGGAATAGTGGCTGAAGCATGAAGGGGCATGCGAATGTTTAGCATCTCTGGCACATAAATACCTTGCAACACCGGCTACAAAAGTGCCATGAGAACACCTGTTCTCACTTTCAGGTGACATTGTAAATAAGAAGAGGACAGCATTATCTCCTGTAAATGTAAACAAACTTGTTTGTCTTAGCGACTGGCTGAACAAGAAGTAGGACTGAATGGACTTGTAGCCTCTAAAGTCTTACATTGTTTTGTTTTTGAGTGCAGTTATGTAACAAAAAAAATCTACATTTGTAAGTTGCACTTTCATGATAAAGAGATTGCACTACAGTACTTGTATGAGGAGAACTGAAAAATCCAGTTTCTTTTGTTTATCATTTTTACAGTGCAAATATTTGTAATAAAAAATAATATAAAATGAGCACTGTACACTTTGTATTCTGTGTTGTAATTAAAATCAATATATTTGAAAATGTAGAAAAACTTCCAAAATATTTAATACATTTCAATTGCTATTCTATTGTTTAACAGTGCAATTAAAACTGCGATTAATTTTTTTAATCGCATGAGTTAACTGTGATTAATCGACAGCCCTACTAATATTGTTATTATCTAAATGTACACGTTTCTTCCAAATGAAAATACATGGAATAGTCATTTCACCTCCCTTTTTGGTTCATAAGCCACAGTAAACACTGTTGAGAGTTCAATTTTATATAGCCTTACCTTTTCACCATTGAAGGATTGTAAAGATAGATCTTCATAAACTCTCTCTCCTTTTCATGATAACCATAAAAAGGCCTGGAGAGCAATAAAACAAACAAAAAGATTACTGATTATATTGTAGCAATATTTACACTTAAATTCTCTCTCTATTTTATGTTTACCTTTCTCCACTCTAGAAGATAGGTTGGGCATTACACGTCTGGTGTTTTAGTCACAATTTATATATATTTATTTACACTTCCCAAACGAAACAAAATCTTCGTTAATTTAGAAGTAAAATTGCTCAACTGCAAACTCCACCAAAGCAATTACTAAAAATTTGGGAAATTGCTAGTTAAGATAATATTTGCACCCAGGACAATCAAAAGCCATGAGTCCGGTCACCCCATAAACCATTATAATCCAAATGCACTCATCTCAACATCATTTTTCAGTTCCAATGCACAGTGTTCCCTAAGGCATATATCCAATTCCTCAAAATCTTAATTCCAACCTAATATTTTCGTTAGGTACTAATAAAACATTATAGGTTTCTAAACTGAAAATATGTTGGTCTGTAAAATATCGGACTCTTGCTGAGGTCAGGAGTTCCGGTGTGTGAGGATGGGGGATTAAGGACATAAAAGTGAAGTGGTGGAAGGGCCATCAATATCCTGACTCCATACCATCCCTAGCAGAAATTTCAATCCAACAATCTTGGTCAGGTGGGTCAACCTAGAAATCCTGTTCAGTTTGGCCACAGGAGGTTTGCCAGAGAGAGAGAGAAGCTGCCCGCTTTTGTTCTGAAGCACTTTGTATGGCAAATGTCTCCTCCTTCCTGCTTGTTGGGGAAGGGAGAAAGAGAAACAACACTGGGAGCTAGACTGTGGGCTTGTTTGTTCTTTTGACTTGGGGGGAGGTTGGACAAGGAGCCCAGGTAAGATGGAAGACTGAGAATGGATGAGGAGCCCAATGGTGGGGTTGATAGGGACAGAACAGACTGGGACTGGCTAGGCAAGGAGACTGGGGATAGGATATTAGGATGAGGAGCCCCAAGAGGGAAACTGGGACTGGTAGCCAGGGTGTGCAGGGGAAGACTGGGACTTTGAAAAATAGCCCAGGGCTGGTTGGGTAAGGGATCCTGGGACTAGGTGAAGAGTCTGGGATGGAAGACTGGAGATTGGGACTGTCTGAGCGATGGGACAGGGAGATGAGGCTAGACAGGAAGAAGCTAGATGGGACAGGGGTAGAAGGGATTGTTGGCACAACAGCGCCCTAGTTTCCAGAACCTAAAATTGAACACAAGATTCAACAGTCTCAGCATTCCTTTGCTATCAGCAAATAGCTGTGAAACCCACTGGAGAAGTGTATTTCTCTATCCCCTGTAGTGTATGAGCCACATAAAAGATGCTAACCTACTACTTCTGTCTGTTACTCGTTAGCTCAAGTGGCAGAGGTCTGTGGGGTGGTTCTAAAGGTTCCAATCCTGTTCATGACCCATGTGCATGTCAACATGATGCCACGTGATGGATTTTTCAGTTTCCTTTTTTTAAAACCTAGAAAATTACATACAACATTAAAAGAACATTAAGATTGCAAAGCTAAGCACTGAGAAGTTAGGAAATGCCTGAATTAAGATTACCTGTGCACTCTTTATTTGGCCCTATTGTGTGTATGCATTGAGATACAGTTTTAGTTGCACAATCACATTCTATTTTTCTCTATGGTACTCCTGTCTCATTCAGTGCACAGAATAGATCATGCTCAGGGGATGAATTAGAGTTGTGTAGTGAAGGAGGCTGCTGTCTGTAGGACCCCTGTCTCATTTGTTGCAGAAACTGGGGAAGGTGTGCAGTGAATGAGGTAGGGGACTGCTGGAAGAGAAAGAATGGTCTCCTGGTTAAGGAAGTTGAATGCCACCATGGAAGAACTGTATTCTACTCCTGCCTCTATTACAGTTCTTGTGATGCTAGGCAAGTCACAACTTTGTAAGTGGTCACTAACTGTGTATTCCTCATTTTCTGGGCGCCCAACTTGCGACTCTGGGGTCTGATTTGCAGGAGTCCTCAGCACTCACAACTTCAACTTAAGTCAATGAAGCTGTAAGTGCTTACCTTAGACCTTAGTTCATCCCGTGCTTTGCTGCACATTGGGCTACCCACATTTGCCATCCTTGCCTGTCAACTGCCCTTCTCTCCAAATCTTCCCATTTCATGTTGAGGTGCTTGATGTTGTTCAGAACTGTTCATTTCCATGTTATTCGCGGTCTTCCTCTCTTTCTTGCGTTTTCTGGTTTCCATTCAAGGGTGGTATTTGGTAAGTGTTCTTTTTCCATTCTCAGCACATGTCCCAGCCACTGATGTCTTCTTTTGTAGATTATTTTTGAGAGGGTACCTTGTCCAGTCATTTTTCTGACTTCTTCATTCGTCTTCCTATCTCTATATGTTATTCCCAATATTCTTCTCAGACATTTGTGATGAAATGCATCCAGCTTTTGTGTATCTTTCTTGGTAAATGCCATGTCTCATTGCTATATGTTGTGATGGTGATAACAATTGCTTTGTACACATTCAGCTGTAAGTGCTACATAATGTTAAATACGCTGAAAAAGCAGACCCTAGCATTTCAAATTGGGTACCCAAACTTAGAGGACACTTTTGACCTTAAATGCTCTGTGCCTCTGTTTCCCATCTGTAAAATGGAGATAATATCACATCATCTCACAGCGGTGTTGTGAAAATAAATTATTAATGTTTGTGAAGTACTCACCTGAGCATCCACATTGCATTGTAAACCAGGGCTTACAATTGCTGGACCCGGGCTAACATGTCCATACTGCATTACGCAGACCTTCTGACTCGAGTTTGTGGCTTGAGCTACACTGCAAAATGACAGGGCTTGGACCCAAGTTTCAGCAGGACTTGGGCTCTGACTCTCTCCACCCAATTCCTGAGTGCTTTCTGACCCAAGTCAGACTGATTTGTGCATGGACAGAAGAGCAGTTTGAGCTCAAACCTGAGTCAGAGCCCAGGCTTAGTGTGCAGTGTAGACATATCCTAATAATTCTGTTTTCTGAGCAGGGTGTGAAAACTGTAGGGTAATAATAACTTGGACTACACACTGAACAATGAAAAAACACAAAATCGACAATAGCTGCTCTTTCAGTGAACACCTCTATCCAGTGCACTGAATAAGGCAGGGATCCTGTGGAAGAACTTGTATGTGATCATGTAATTAAATTTTATTGAAGGAATATTAGGACTCTCAGAAACCATCCAAAAACCACTCAACACAAAAGGGCCAGTTTCTTCAAGAACACAACTGACTCTGCAACATTAACAACCTTCCTTAGAACACCATCCTTGCCACCATGGATGTCATCTCCCTATCCACCAACATCCCTCACAATGACAGCATCACAACCTGCCTTGTACATCTACAGGTCAATGGACAACATACAGATATCCATCCCAAACACATCTCCAAACTCATACATTTAATCCTCTCACATACAACTTTACATTTAACAACAAACACTTTGTCCAAACAATGTGAACAGCCATCGGTACAAGGATGGCTCCCCAATATGCCAAGCTCTTCAAGGGCCACCTTGAGGAAGAATTTCTGGAAAAATGCACCACAAAACCAATGATATACCTGAGATAAATTGATATTTTCATCCTCTGGACAGATGACCTAACCTACCTCATCCATTTCTACCACAACTTCAACCACCACCATTCATCCCTCAAAGTCTTGCTAGAACACTCCCACAACAGCATCAACTTCCTGGACACCATGATCAGCTTCAACAATGGAATTCTACAGACAACTATATACAAGAAACCGACAGATCAACAGACTTCCCTCCAAAGATCCAGTAACTGCCCCAGACACAGCAAGAAATCTGTTATCTACAGCCAGGCTCTCAGATATTACAGAATATGCTTCAAGGAGAAAGTCTGGAATACACACCTCAATACACTTTAGACTGCCTTCGCCAAACAAGAACATTTCAGAGTAGTAAACCACAGCATGAAATGGGCCACGCAAATACCCTAAGAGAACATGGTTCAATACAAAAAACAAAAAAAAAAGCCCACCAACCGCACACCTTTAGTTGTCACTTACCACCCCACATTGGAACCCATACGGGGACCAAGTCCTGAAAGAAATCTTTTCCAAACCACCTCTTTTGGTCTAAAAGCAACCTGCCGACCTCATCATCAGAAGCAAGTTCCCCACAGACCAGGACATTTCAACTCAAACAGCACCAGACACTGCCAGAACAACAGATGTTACTCTTGGGGGAATTCTGCAACTCTCTGCATGCGCAGAATTCATGTCTGGCGCAGATTTTTTTTTTCCTGCCGAAAATACATTCTGCCCAAGAAGTGCTGCAGTTCTATCTTTCACCCACCAAAGGCCACTGTGGTACCAAAACAGCCAGCAGTGTTGATCATAGCACCCTGTCTGTGGAGCCAGGTTAGGACAGACAGAGTGGGGCACACGGAGCTGCTGTGGGGGTTACAGACTGAGGTTCAGAAGGGTTAGTGGGGGGGACAGGATGGGGCAAGGGCTCAGGAGCTAGTGGGGTGATAGCATTGAGCCAGGGAGAGAATGGGAGAGGTGCTACAGTGCCACATGGGAACAGGGGGGAGAAGGGGTTCAGGATCACATGGGAACAGGGGGTAGAGGACTGCAGGGACACATGGGGAAGAGAGGCAGATGTGCCTGACTGAATGGGAGAGACTTGGGGTCAGCCAGGGTCAGCTAAAATTGTCTTGGGCAGTAGGGGCTCTCTCAATGACCATAGCTTTGTCCTTTTTGATCTTGGGTATAATCCTGGAGATCAGGGGAATTGGTGCTAAGGCATACAAGAATTCTCAAAACCACGGAAGAAGAAAGGAAGGGCATTCACACTTCCTCTAGAGGAAAAGTCCTTGCACTTGATGTCGTCCCACATGGCAAAGAAGTCTAATGATGGGAGTTCCCAACTGGTGAAATATTAGGTCTAGAATGGATTTCTGCATTTGTGGCTGGTTACCACATTCTTGCTCAGGAAGTCTACCAGGTTTGTGCTGATCCCTAGTAGA